AACTAAGAAAATATGTACACTGCTTTGACTCAGTAAACTCATACTCAGTATGGTTCATCTTCTTCATATTTACTTTTGCCCATATTAGAAAACAATTAGCTTACTAAACAAATTTGAGTATTTGGGATAAAAAAATCTACTTTGAGTCTCTCTCATTTGACTAAGAATTACATGATATTTGATAAGCTTGTTTAAAAATGGACATATCCAAATATTATTGTAAACACCCATTGATTTGTTTTACCTGCAATATAAGTATTTTACTTAGTTGGCTTACATAGTAGCTAATAATATTTGTTAATGTAATTTAACTGCTGTGAACCTTTACTGAACAAATATTGAAATTTATACAAGTCAAAGAAAGAGAATCTCTAATGACTTTTGTAAAAGCTTCCATTTAATAGTTAAGGAGAAAAGTTTATATGACATACCAGATGCAATTAACAGTAGATTTTACATTTAATAAAAAGAAAGAAGCATATGTATTTGCTTTATTCATTCCATCATAATTTGCATTAGAGCTGTGGGTGTTTAATGAGCAAATTCCAGCTAAAATGCTATATTGATTTTCTAAGTGAACTTTGTAATAGCTATCTACCTTACAAAAGCTCTCTGTTTACAATTGTTTTCTTTACTAAAAACTAAAAATGTTTTAGAATTGATGAGTTTAGCATAATGATTCTTTTAAAATAAAGAGCTCTTTTAGAGTGTGCAGGGGTTTTAGTTACAAGGAGAAAGATGTTATTAAATTATTCCAAAATAAATAAAGTTTATGCAACTAAGTAGTAATGCTAGATTTACATATCTTACAATATTTGCAAGCGTTGGCAAATAATCCTTTTTTCTTAATTTAGCACTCTGGGATGTAAATATTTTAATTTTTGAATGTCATAATATCTATATGAATGAGTACATGGCACAATTAATTTTAACTTCATACTAGACTATCCACACTTCATTTTTGTGCGTAATTTTCTTACTTGAAACATGAGTTCTTTAAGAATTTGTGTTTCTTGTTGGTCAGGCCTCAAAACGACAGGATAGGGTTGGTCAGTGTGCCACTGGAAGGTCTCCAAGAAAAATCTTGTGGTGTCGACCAGAGCAGTTGGTGACTAAGTATCTCTTTTTTCGTTGGATCAGGCATCAAGTTGGTGTGCCAGTATGGAGCTGGTATTTTGCTGGATATGGCATGACTTGGATGGGGTTTAGGAGCCTGACTTGATAGTCTCAATTAGTTTTTGCCTGGCATTTTTAAGAAGCATAGGGATGATAATCTGGATATTCTTTAGTATTTTTAATATGGAGGAATTTCCTGTCACTTTCTCTCATAGACTTTAATTGGACAGCTTATACTTTACACATTTTCCTAGATATGATGCAAAATGTTTTGATTTGCTGCTGCATTGAAACTGAAAGGTGTGTGTATTTCAGTTACTTATTTGAAGAATGCTGTGGTCCTTACTGTCCTGAATTTACAGTTGTGACTCATCCATAGCTCAATCTGAATGGTGAATGTTATTGTTACATCATACTTCAGGTCACCTGCATTTGTGTAACTGTCATAATATTCCATATATTATGACAAAAGGAATTAGTAAAATATTAAATAGACTCAGAAATATGGAGGCGTTGGATAACAAAAATGTCTAACCTAAATTCAGCAGAAGGTTTGGCTGGTAAAGAAATCAGGTCAGTTAGTCTTCTGTAGACCATTAAAATGAGTTAGATGAGGACTTTTAATTACTTTTTAAATAAGTCATTTCTTTTAGTCGGTGTCAGTATAGCTACATGCCATGTAACTAAGGGGTTTTTTTTTCAAACTTAGATTACCATGCAAGCATCTTACATGATTTTTTGTACTTTCCCTAATCTGTTTTAATATTAAACAATTGATTTGCAATGTTACTTTTAAGAAATATAAGTAAAAGCCAAACACTTGTAATTGATACTGAACTGCTATAATTTTTTTTTTAATGTAGGTGTTGGATCTGGTCATTGGGATATTTACTCCCATGCTTTAATTTAGTGGAAGGATAAGAAAACAAGAAATTGCACAATTTAAGTCACTTTTCCATAGCTAATAGTCAAAAGACTGTTTTGTAATGGAACTTGGACTGGGGGAAGGGTTTGCTGTTCAAGACAATTACCTTCTGGGCTGTTATTTGGGATGGTAAGACTTGAGATAAGCAGGATGCTTAAGAAGCTTAAAAACATCTCTTTTTCAGAATGTTTTCATACTGTTATATATACATAACTTTGGTTTAAGTACAAATAAGCAATAATCTGTTTTTTAAAAGCCTGTATAGTCGTTATACCACTGGCTGTAGTTACGCAGAGAGGGAATTAGCAGTGCCAAAAACCAGTCACTCTAGGTGTACTTGTATGTTTGGGATCCATTGCAGGAGTCAGCAAACTTTGGTTTTTCATGCTGAGCTGAGGATGTTCTAAAGTTTGACAGGAGAAGGGATGCACTTGAAGAGACCAGAAAGAAGTTAACTAATCTGGAAAGCAATTAACCTGTGAATAGTAGTAAGTGCCAAATCTTCAGTTACCTTAGGCAGGTTTCTATTCATTCCAGCAGATGTTTTCATTATGAAAATTGCATAATGTTTCCACATGCTGGTTTAAGGAAGGGGCTCTCTGTGCAGTGTCTCTGGCATGATGCTAGATAATCAGACAAAATTTACAGGAAAAATTATAGTAAACAAATGTATTAAGGTACTGATAGGTAATAATTGCCACACACAATCAAACTGCTTTTGTATTCCAGATCCCTTCAGGACATAGCAGTTGTGTTGTCATTTACCTGGGCAGTCAACACGGAGGCACTAGTTTCCCTGCGCTCACAGATCTCAGCAACTGATGTGCTGAAATGCACAGCCTACCTCGTACAGTTTGTTCTGTTCTTGCTGAGCCACCTACCTTTGCAGATATCAGACTCATTCTCTCCAAGTGCTGCAGAATTATTCCTGGATACCAACCTGTCCACATGCAGTTTTGCAGCTTCTTTACTCATGTCTTAATTTTCCTATACCACATCAAGCAAAGCTTTTTTGTTGCAAACAAGGGAAATAGGTTTTCAACTTAGAAAAAAAGACACTGTTCTTGTGAAATACTCAAATAGAAGAGAATTAAATCAGTGTTTGTTAAATTTTGTGTATTTGTGCTTCTGATGCTGAATTTCTGTGGGTTTGGTTGTTTTTTATTTTGTTTTGGTTTTGGTTTTTGGGGTTTTTTTGGTTTTTTGTTGTTGTTGTGGTTGGGACGCAACTTGTTACAGCTCTGGCCTGATAACTGGGCTTGCTGCTCCTCTGTAGATTCTTCTGAGGGGAGGGACTGCATTTCCAGAAGTAACATTTAACCTTTCCCTGTTACCTTTTGTCCTGTCTGCTGTTAGCCTGCAGCCTTTTGCTAGACCTGCCAAAAAATGCTTCCTTACTCCTCAGCTTGAGGACAAGAGGTTTGCTTTCCTACCTTGAACACCTTGCTAATTTATCTCTCCAGATGCTTTTTCTGTTCTGTTTTTCTTTTTCTTGCTTGTCTTACATCCCTGGTTATCTGAGCTGCTTGTGACATTACATAAACTTACCACTTTTTGTATTTCAGTTGTTTGGGGAGTTTTAACACTTTACTAGTTTTTTGGTGCTGGTAAAGTGTATTTTGTGCCTGCATTATAGCTGCTATCAAAAAGTGCTTCTGTGTTCCTATTGTTCCATTATGTGAAGAAGCATGAAATGTTTTATACCACACTATGAAGTTTTTGTGCAGTTATGTACAAGGGTGATGTAAGAATAAACATATAGAGGCAATGCAGTTGATGCCAATTGAGGTAAGAATGGAGGAATAAAAGCTCTAGGCCAAAGTGGAGGAGGAAGCCTTTGTTTGCGATCTTAGCTTAATGATGTAAGCAATGGTTCAGAGAGCATTAAAGAGTTCTGAAGGTAGTAAGGAAGTCCAGAAGCAGTGGAATACATGAAGTATTAATACAGGAAGTTCTTGAGAAATAAATGCCAAAATTTGAAAGAGACTGTAGTATGATCTTAGGAGACTGTGGCTAAACCCCAGCTTGACAGACTAGAAGGGGAGCGTGGAGAATTCTGGAACTTACAGACCTCAGCTGAGTTTTTTGGAGGTGCTTGTGACAATGAGAGATATAGTCCTCTGCCTTGGAGTGACAGCAGTCTTACTTATGGCATCCTGAAACTCCCTAGACATTTCAACTGCAGGGTTTTATGATGACTGTGAGGAGAGATTTGCAGTATTGCAGAGGGAAATGATGAAAGTATGAATAAAGATTTTAGTGGAGGCAGGGTCGAGGTAAGGATTCTGGCAGTGTGCCAGAGATGGTGTTAGACATATTGACAGGGGAAAGGCAGGGAGAAAACGTAAGCTCGGAATGAGGAATGACTTGAAGGTGTTAGTTTGCTCCCAAGGATAGAGAGTAAATCTTAGTTTATTGGCACCTAATGCTCCAAGGTCCATGTATGCCGTAACAGATAATATAACAGTATATTACACAATAAAGTAGAGGCTTGGCAGAGGAGAGATGCCAGCTGTGCCACTCTAGTGATACCTGAGACAGACTATGAAAATATTAGAATATTTAATATCAGTGTGCCACCCCAGTAGGAAGCAGTCTGATGGTAGCAGTTTTAATGGATCTTTACTTTTAACTCTACGTCCTCGAAGAAACCTGCTAGTCTCTCATATGATTCTGAGCTTTAAGAATTACTTTTCCATTAAGCAAGTATCCAGAATGCACAGCCCTGTTAGATTTTACAGGACTGAATTTGAAAACACATAGCTTTATTTTATTCCTCAAAGTATTGATTTTAGCAAGAAACAGCAATTTAGTGTTGTGTCTGAGAAGCAATACAGACTTAATGGAGAACAATCCAAGGTCAGTGGAGAAGTGTTAATTTTGGGAGGTGCTGGCCCATGTAAATGCATCTAATAGTGTTTTTCCTTGTCAAACTTCTTTATTGAACACACTTTTGCAGCTCTGGTGGAAGAAGTTTATTCTGCTCAACGGGAACGTGATGAGGCTGTCATGGCAAGGCTTAGGTTAGCCAATGAAGAGAGAGATGAAGCAGTTCTGCAAGTCCAGCGTTTAGAAGAGTCTCTCAAAGAGTAAGTATACATTCCCTGCCCTGTGCAAAAAGGCTGTTGTTTCAGTCTGTGGCAGTTATAAACTGCTCAACAGTGGTTATATAGGAAAACTTGGTGCAAACTTCTCCATGATGAAATAGGCTAGGGCTAGTCTTACTGTGTTACTGGTTAATTTGTTAGCTATCCTGAAAGACGATATTTTTCTCTGGAGACTGAGAGCAAGGTGAATAATTTTGATCACAAAAATAAAAAGATGTAATCAAAAGCTTTGGTATTGATTTATTGAGGGATAAATAAGATGAATGTGTTATTTTATAGGGATCTTTTGACACAGAGTACTAGGATGTCAGTCAAAAGTTGCAATATATAGGAAATCAATCAAGCCCTGAAGTCCACTAGACATTTCTTTCCGCAAAATTTCTACTACTCATGTGGGCAACATGGTAAAAATATATGGTTTTTTTTCTCAGCTTTAGTGTAGGAGCTGTTTGTAAGGTAATAAGGGTACAACTAGTACATCTTGTATGCCACGTTAACATAACCGAAATAGGCAATCTCATGTTGAACAAAACCGTCAAGTCAGGGGAGAAAGATCAAGAACAGTTTCATTTCTCACTTTTGGTTATAAGCAGCTTTGAAGAACAGTTTGCCTCTCCATGTAATCCTTCTTCATCTGAGTTGTGATCATCTTAGTCATCAACTGTGTTAGTCCCCCAAAGGGTAGTCCTCTGAAGTCCAGAGTAGCTGAGAAATTTCTCTTATTTTTCTGCCAGGAGAAATACAGAGCAAACACGTTTTTATTGGTAGGAGACTGAATAGGTGCAGTTGTGTTAGTTAACTAAATGGCACAAGTATGTTTTTAAAAATTCCTTCTACTAAGAACACTCGTCTTTAGGGCAGAAAGCCAGTCTTCTTCTTTTGGATCTTTTGGTAGTTAGGGCCAGAGAATGTTCCTAAATAAATTTCAGTAATCTGCATGTAGTTTGTGCACCATTACTCTGTAGAATTTACAAATTGCTAGGGTTTGTCACAGCATGAAAGTATAGCTCAGCAGCAAGATTAGGAGATTCTATACCCACAAGAATTAGTGCATAATGTGTTAAATATCTCTACAGAGTCCATTATATGCACCTGAAATCTTGCCTTAAATGCAATTTTGGAGGAAATTACAGATGTGCTTTAAATTCCCATAAGAGGAATCATAACTGTGAACCTTACTTTCAGTCTCCAGGTTCTTCCATCAGTTTTCTGATCTTGTATGTTCCAAGAGTAAAGAAGGTTTTGTATGGTTCCAAACATCAGATGAAACTGTGTATAAACTGTTAGCATAAACTTGAGGTCTTTTATCTTAAAGCACTAGACTCCTGCAGAAAATTCATTGTTCTGATTGACAGACCTGGTCAATGACTTTTGGGTTTCTGGAAGAAATCACAGGTTATTAAGTGTGTGACAGGCGCATTGCTACCTTTTCTGCAGTGGAATCCATAGACACATGGGTGGCAGTTATTGACACACATGAATCCCTCAGAACACGTTCACTTGTTTTCCTTCAACCCCTTCTGTCTGCTTCACTCATGTACTGGAAGGTTAAATTAGTTCTAAGCTGAAGGATGAGAAAAGAGAACACCATTTCTTGGAGAACATGCGTAGAACTTTCCTCAAAAACATGCCGTTGCAGAAGGCACTGAAAATGACAAAAGTAGCACTTAGTCCTAGGAGAGGGTCAGTAACTCCGTTGGCTGATAGCTTGGAGTCAAGCTATTACACTTTATTGCTATTATTTAGAGGACAGCAATCATTGTTGCTATCATCCGCTTGGGTGTTCTTTAGGATGCTTTATGGAGAGGTCTGATACCCTGATGCCATTCACAGTCTCACAATTGGCATAGGAGATTTCCCTGTGTAGAACACCAACTTTCTTTTCTAACTACAACCCCTAGTATTTTCTTCCTTATGGTGATTGTTCAAAAGGTCAAGTTCTCTGTCTCAGATGTGCAGCACATTGAGGTTTGGGCTTTTTTAAAGAATGTTGGCTACTGGTGCCACACTCATCAAATTTTAGAGCACAGGTCACTCCTTCCATCTGCTTTGGAATTCTTCCAGTCAGAGAACTTTACAAGAGGGCAATATTGAACAGCCTGCCAACCTTTATCAAATGCTGTAATGCTTTCTTTAAATTAGCAGCTGGAGCAATTCTATTGTCATTATTTAACTGTAATAACTAAAATTCTTACAGCCCTGTTGGCCCTAGGGGTTCCTTTAGCACAGTGTGTTTAGACATGAGAGGAGGAGAAATCCTGTTTTAAATTGTTAGTGCTTACTGTCTGTGCTCAGCACAGGGAGAGGTAGCAGGGCAAATACACAGCTCTGGATGCTACTTTTTTAAAAATACTGTAACCTAAGTAGGTTTTTGTATATCTACAGATGGATCCCTTCTGGCAATAGTGTGCTGAAGGTATGCTTATGGCGGAAGTTCCTGTTCTTGTTCCCGCTCCTGTTTCTCCCTAAAGTGTCTTGCTTACTCAGCCTGTTGGTTGGCTGGGTGATTTTGTTGACCCACACTTTTAGCAGGGTAGAAGTCCTCTAGAGAAGCCAGGTCAGTCCTGCCAATTTACTTTGACAAATACCGTTCCTTTCATTGTGAATACAAACTAGCTGGATATCCATTTTTAAGTCCCACATGAAGTGGCACTTAGAGCAATGTAAAAACCTAAAGCAGGAACTCTACAAGGAGCCAGTTCTGAGAAATTGGACTATAATATGTTTGTTATTTTATTATTTTTGTTACTTTATGAATACAAATCAAACTGAGCAAAGGTTAGCTTTTACTTTGATTTGTTTAGTTGTGGTGCTGACTGAATATATTGGAGCAGTTACTGCTTGTGAATTCCATATACCATCTGTTGTACATTGATCATACATTCTGAAATATTTCTTTTTTATTTAAAGATTTTATTTCTATACTGATTGATTTAGTATGTCATATACTGTTATCTGGTTAAACTAATTCTCTAATATAAAAGGTGCTAGTATGCAGTCAAGTGTTCTATGATGTTTGCTAGCTAAAATCATGACTTCAAAGCAGCACCTGTCACACCATTGTTGAAAGTGTCTCTTGCTGTTCAGAAAATGTTTAATAGTACTGTGTCTGTCTTTTAAAATATCGTAGGGTAGTGGCAGACCTACTTTTAGTAGAAGTCGCCATTAAGTAAGTAGCAGTGGAGTGGTAAGGTAACTTTAATATGCTCATTTTTCCAGAAAAGAGATCTCTGTCCATTTAACTAACCTCAGGTAAAATAAAATGTGTACTATGCCATTTATTAGATTTTTTCGCTATCACTTACTGCTTTTGCACAGCCAGTGTTCAATTCTGTATGACTAAATTCCTCGTATCATCTTTGTATTTGACAGGTCAATATATGTTCTGTTGAAATAGAAAGAGAGGAAAGTGCAGGCAGGTTTGTTCCAGAATTAAATAAGTACCTTGCAGAGAATTGGCTTAGCTTCCTATTTTATGCAAGATAGAAAATCAAAATATTTTTAAGGAAACTTCAGCTGTTTTTTTTCCTTGTTGTGGAGGAGAGAGGTGGAAAAAGAATGGCTAAAAAATGAAAAAAAATAAAATCACCTCAAAAGTCATGTTCTGTTTCATTTGGGGTGCAGTAAAACCAACAAAAATAAGTCAGGTAAAAGTTGTAAGCCCAGAAATAAATAAAATAAGAGCATCAGTCATTTCTATCGCTGGGGAACTTTCTTCATCTAAGCACATATGAACAATTGATCCTTGTAGTCATATATAGCAGTAAACATTAATAACTTAACAGTCTGAAGTCAGTGCTGAAGATATGGAGCATTATTGAAAGATGGAGTCGAGCAGGTGGCACTTTAATATGTTCAGTGTCATGGTTGACTCTAAAGACTAGTAGAATGAAATTACTTGAGGTTCTAAAGATTTAAAAAGCGAACTCATTTTGCTGCACTAAGGAAATGCTACTGATCAGGCTTTCTGTGTCCCTTTTTTCTAGGCTAGAAAATATTAACCCTGAAGAAAATGACATGGTAAGCCATTCTCTGAGGAGATTTCTTGATGTCAGTCTTATATCTTAGAGGCTTAAGTTCAATTGAGTGGGTTTCAAGAACTAAGATGTGGGAAAAAGAAGAATTGACACACTAATAATGTACATCTTTGCTGCAATATGAAAATTCAATAACTTCACTCAGTCAATTTACAATTCACATGTGCCTATTAATTAAAACCTTATATTAAATAAAATATATTAAAACTTCATGTCTGACTAACATATAATGCTGTTGGTAGACATTACAGGAATTACTGAACAGAATAAACAATGCAGACACAGGGATAGATATACTGAAGAATGGAGCTATAATTCTGAACCGAATACACAGGACCAAAGAACGTAAAAAGAAAATAATAGCTGAGGAAATGAATGCAGTAATAGAACAACGGGATGCTGCTTTGTCTCAAGTAAGTCTCTACAAGTACATGATCACTCAAAACCAAATTTTTTTTTCCTTTACTTTTGATGAAGAAAATTATTTTGTTTGCTTTCCTCCTTTGAAAATCTCAGAGACGAACCTTTGTAGTAAATGGCTCACTAATGATCAACTTTTTCTTTATGGTAGTAGTACCTATTAAAATGGCATCAGTGTGTTTCAGGAGAAAAGTTATTTTTGTATTTTTTGCACCTCATTACTTGCTGTCTTCTTTTTAAAACAAAATACTTTTCAGTGGCTTGACCAATCTGAAAAGCTATTAAGGGCTTAACTTTGCAGTATGCTGTACTGGTGAAATGCATTAGATGACAGTTAACTGGGGCTGACAGGTTTGTAAAAGGTTATATGTGGCAAAAATATACATTAAGGGAAGATAACAGTACCACATGCAACAATGCAAGTAATTCCTCCCTTTGTTGCTTTACATTCAGGAGATAAAAATCAGCATGTGGTCCTTGACTCTCAAAGTCTTACCCCTATGCTACGTGACTTGAAAGAACCTGGGTTCTTTTTTCTGCTCAGATCACTCATTCCCTGCAATTTCCTATTTTGACAGAACAAGAATTGTCTTCGTTCTCATCATCATAAAGAGTGTCTCCTTGCTTTTCCCATTTCATGGAAGAGTTTTTTGGGGGGGGTTTGTTTGGTTTTGGGCTTTTTAAGTCCCTGAATTTTAAACTAGATTTAACTCAATAGGAGCAGGTTGTAAGAGGGAACAGTCCAAGTAGGGGATATATATCCTGAGATAATATTTTACACTGGATGAATCTCCTTATGTGTTTATGCCAGGCAAGAAATTTTATCTGACTCTTCCAATATTGAAAGTTAATGAGTTAACAGTGTTAGCCTACATCTAACTAATTTTTGCTAGATTTAAAGTCAAGTTTGTGATCTTGAGTAGTATACATAATGTTGATCAAATTTATGTTCTATTGAAGTCTTCCGATAAAGTGTCCCTTCTACACACACTATAATTTAAACTTTTTTCAGTCGTCCTTTTGCATTCTCTTCTGCTTTAACTTTGAAAACCTCATCTACCTGGTGCTTAAAATATGCTATGTGTCTGTCTCATATGTATTGCAAAGGATGTTAATGTATTAATGGCAGTATTTTACTTTTTTGGTCTGCTTTTTTTGCTTTCATAATAATGATGAGGAGCATAGCTATTGGGAAACATCCAATAGTCCTCCCAAAAGTTTGTTGCAATGTTCCAATGCATTGGGCATTGGAAAAGTGAGCAGCTTATGAGAGGAAAACTTTCAGCAGAAGGGAAGGATCTTTTGATACTTTTATTTTAATTTTGTCAGTTTTTGCTTCTTTGTTAAAGTGGACTTTCAGGTGTACTTGGGCCATAAAACATCTATGAATGTCAGAAGAATATAGTTGTAGGTCATATTAGTATGTACTTTAATTTAATTGATTTTAAGGTGCCTGGTTAAGGAGTAATCTTTATCAAGTAATCAGCTTCAAAATTAATAGAGATAATTATTTTATATAGTAATGTCACCACTAGCAAAGCCCTCTTTAGGCATGTCAACAAAAAGCACAGATAATGTTAAGTAGATATTGCAGCTGAAAAAATAAATTTATAGAATAATATATCCTCACTAAATGAAAATTTAAATATTTGGTGTAAGCTGTAATGTAATTATACCGTTCGCAACTTATACCACCATTGTTTTAAATTTATTATTATTATTTAAACTCTTTTCGTCATGTGTTTTCAAATATACGATGTTTTTACAGCTGTTACTGTTGAATCTCGAAAAAAGGTCCTTGGAATTGAAGCTACCATTTCAACCTGTGCTTCTCACTTGATGATTCCTTGGGAATTCATACCGTACTTGAATTATTAGTAGTCTTTTGTTAACATTGCAATAGCGGGAGTTATTACAGTGCTAACAGCAAGAACAATAGGAGAGGGATTCCTACATTAGACCACAAAGGGACTAGATATAATTCAGGGGATGTATATGCTTAGCATAACAAATGCAAATTATTGGAAGTTAGATCTAGGGTTGCCTCAGGCATTCATAACATCTGCAAGTTAAAATCTTTTCGGTGGAAGTAACATCAAATATGAGTGGGGGGGAGAATTGAGGAGAATAGCCTGAGACAAAGCAGAAATAGTGTGAACCATTAGCATGCAGTAGCTTTCCTCTTAAAAAGGCATGTTTAAAGTTCAGAGGTCACTGGGCAATGGAAGTTAAATGCTTCGTGACACATGATGTGAACACCATGTCCCTCTGTTCCTGCTTGCTGTTGTGTGATGCTGGAGACAGCAGTGTCATTTGTGTGACCACCACAACTGGTTCCCTATGAAAGAGAACTATGCGATAACAAGGGTTTAGACTAACTGAATTTAATAATGGAACTGCATCTGTTACCTTTCTTTATGGTTTTCTTCACAACAGCCTGGTGTTTGACAACTGAGTACACTGAATATAACTAGTATCTAGTTTTTTGCATTTTACTTATAGGATTTCTGATTTTTCTGAGGGGGAAACAATAATGTGAAAGCCTTCACAGCCCAAAGACATTGCTTTGATTTCAACTGAAGAATAAGTTACATTCCTAGCCAATGGACATTCTGTAAACTGCGTGTTTCCTATGACCAAGTAAAGACAGATTACTTCCAACTAGGCTTTTAAACAGTTTTGAAATGCTTTTTCTGTAGTTATACTACTAAGGTGCATTTAACTGGACTGCTATTGCAACATATTGGACAATGATTAGCTAGTTGTGATTCCTCTATTTAAATTATACTTGAATAATTTTTTTTTTCTCCAAAACATAAAGAGCACTGTCCATGTCTTGGAAAGGTCATGGAAATGTTTTTTTGAGCCATAATACCCAAGAGCATCTGAATATTTTTTTGAGATTTCCAACGTGCATGTAACTTCTTACTAGGAAGCAGATAGAGGCACTTCTATCACTGTATTGAGCTGTGCACTTATACGTAATCTTAGATCTTTGACTAGATTGCTGAGCAAATATGCAAACTACTTTTTGTATGTGTGAAAACAAATCAAATGGTATAAACTCAAATATTTGATACTACTATTAGTATGTATTTTCAAGTGAATAATAAACAAACAACTAAAGCATGGCTAAACATTGACATCCATCTTCTCCTGTACCAACCCCCTTAAAAAAACAAACTGAACTGTTTGGTTGTATTTGCTAAGATATGTTTGCTAATGAGCAGATATTGTGTGATACTGAGGATCTTGAGTGTGTTTTATGACTGACCAATCCTCTGAAAGGAGAATGGAGAAATATGCTAACTGTTATGAGAAATAAAACATATTTTTCTCGTCTGTAATGTTCAGTTTTGTCTTATCCCATTCAAGGAAAAAACTTATCTGTCCAGCTGATTGTACTACGGTTTTGCCTTTCTTCAAAAATCTTTCTTGCTTGAGTAATCCGGTTAGTGACAGACATTCACAAAGATTCCATATGGCATAGTCACATTGTGTGATCTTCACAAAATACTCTAAAGAAGTGTTTTCCAGCAGGAGGCAATACAGTACAATGTCTCAGCCACCTATTAGCCACATCACACCTTATGGACAGGAATGTTAATATCATTAAATGATTGGCAGCTGAAGACTTGGGTAAGTCATTACAATTACTTTTCTTCTGGTTTAGAGAAGAAAGGGAACCTTTTAATCGGTGCAGCTTGAAGGAAGTGATTTTTTAAAGCTAATTAAGAGAATAGGAGATCATGTGTCTGATATGTTTTCGGTCCTAACTCATTCTGTATATGTGTTTTTTTAATGGGCAACAGTCAGTTCTATACAGAATTTTAAATATTAAAGATGTATAATTGGTTGTTAAGGAAAAGCAGTGGTTTCATGGCTGGCAAAGTATCATCTCTAGTGCACTGGTCTTGAAGCAATAACATAACTGGCAAGCCAACCTGGTTTTGCAGCTTTGAATAGTTTGATCACATCCTGCTGTGCAGGAACATGCTTATGACTGTTCATGTAAAAAATTGGCATGCACCCAGTTGCTCATCTGAAGCAAGTTTAAGTACCCTTCTCCATTTTGAGGCACTGTTTGGCAGCAGGCAGCACTTTGTCGTCATTGAAAACAAAGACGAGGTGCATTATGCTTGACTGCCCAGCATTATCAGTTTCGACTAATGACTAATAGCTGATAAATGTCTGTACTTAAAACAAGCCAACTTCTTGCTAACTTCTTTTTATGTTCTGCTAAAGCCGTTTTCCTCCTTTTGCACCAAATAAGGTGTAGAGCTCTGTGTTGTCTGTGATTCATGGAGCATTAAGGCATTCTAAGCACAAGTGAGTGAACAGGTCTTATTGAGGTAATAAATCCAAGAGCTTTATGATGTGTAAAAACAACAAAAGCATATGTAAATGAAATATGAAAAATATTTACACATCTTGGGCCTTTAATTGGGGAATACTCAGGGACAAGTTGCAATGCATTGTGACTCTTATCTTAGGATAGAGGTGATCTCTTTGCAACTCAAATCACAGTTTGAGACATTATTTTTAGTAGTTTGAATTATCTGTTCAGTTTTAAACTCTGTTTTGGTACCCTTTGACACTTCCTGTCACTTCCTTTGACCCTATCCTTAACACATCCTGGTTAAGGATACTAATCAAGTTCTTGGCTGGCAAGAGCACGTCTGACGGTGTCCTCCTAGCTGCTCTGTCAAGATGCTTCCCCTACTTTTCCCTTTGCCACTGATAGTTGGAAACAGGAAAACAAGAAGAGGTAGATTGCTGTATTCACAGTTGTTTGTGAACCATGCAGCTGTTGTTGGGTACAGATTATTTTGGTCATGGGCTTATTTGAGGAGGAAAGTGAAGGTAAAGAGGATGTTTACTGTACTTTGAGGATCCAAGGACCATGCTGGTTCACTCTAGTGGCTGATTGCCTTTGGGCAGGCAACAGCAAGTTGCTGTTGCTCTCATTTGCAGTGCTTTTCTCTGAGAGGTA